AGTGCCTCGTTTTGGTTCCCCGTCCAAGTCCCCAATTCCCCCGATACGTATTTGAGAGCTTGATGGTATTTTTTGTCTAAGAGATATTCCCTATTGCTACTTTTCATATTAATTGACACCCTGGCACAGATCACCTAAATACAGATGCGTAAGTAAGTATCCTTGCCGTCGACGATTCAAAGCTACGAAACCACGGTAGCCTGTTCCCTTGCCGCTAATGCGGCCGATAATTTATAGTGCGTGAGCGTTTTCCAGCCTGTTTTGTTTAAATATACCCTTGAATCACGAATTCACCGCTCTTTCGCATCTGTATGTAGGTAAGCTGTAACGCGGACTCCCGTACTATTCGACAAGCGGCCAGCCCCCTAGAGGCACAGGCGAGGTTTCGTAGCTTTTGAATCGACGGCAAGATCCTTTACTTACGCATCTGTAATCTGTAAGTAGGTGATCTGTGACCCTGGCCCATGTATGTAGAGTCGTGAGCATAAAAAGTGGGACACCCGACTGACCAGGCGCAGATCCAGACTCAAATTAAGGGGGGGCTTTACAAAATATTGGAAGGTACAGGGTGTCTGGTTATAATTTGACACCCCACCTTTATAGGTAGATGATAGGTGTAAACACAAAAGTGGAGCCTTAGAGCAGGTAAAGATAAAGAGGAGTAGTAACATGGAACTGGAAAATGAAGCCATTTTTTTCCAGGTATTTTAGCACCAAAAAAATGGCGGTATAGGCAATAGGCAATTCAATTCAATGCTTTACCTGTATTTTAGTGCCAAATACCTGCCAAAAACTTGGTTTCTTTAGTTTCATAAGCAAAGTGGCGCGTTTCTACTCCTTATGTCCGTAGGACAGCGCTTTACCTAAGAGTGGAGCAGTTTTAGCTAAATTATTGTCAGAAATTTGAAATTTTGCGTACTTTAAACTTTTTTCAAATATAATGCCCTATATTTGATTCTATATTCTTGAAGAGCACAATTTTCCGATTCCAAAAATACCTATATAGTTCCTCTATACTTAGTTGAGCCGTCTCCACCATATTTGGCTTCAAAAATTTTAAAAATACTATCAGAGAAACCAAGTGCCTCAAATTTTACCTGAAGATTTTATCAGAATGGTTCACAAAATCGTCAGTAGGATAGTATTTTTCCAATATTTTTAGAGCCAAATATGTTGAAGGTGGCTAAAACAAATATAGACAAACTATAATTAGAAGCAAATATAGGGCATTTCATTTAAAAAAAGTTGAAAGTAAAATTTCAAATTTCTTATAATAAAATTTTGTTTTTGACGATGGATTCTGAAAATTTAGTTAAAACTGCACAACTTTTGTGTTCACACCTATCATCTAACTGTAAAGGTAAAGGCTGCAGGTGGGGTGTCAAATTATAACCAAACACCCTTTACATACAAATAGAATAGCCTAGAGGTCCGCGATAAAATGACGCCATGAAATATAATTCTGTTATACGGGCCCTGGTAAACCCGGAAAAATTGGTCGATTTAATGTTGATTTTTAAAATATTTTTTTCTAATCTAGGGGGGCCATAGCCCCCATGGCCCCTCCCTGGATCCGCGCCTGCGACTGACAGGTCTTATAATTTTTCGCTATTTTGGGTAAATCAGTCTTTTCTCTACAATGGATTTTTTCCACTACCGTGCGTAAAGTACTCACTTTACGCACTATTCAGAAGATGTAAAATTCCACTTCACGCACTAGTGCGTAAAGTAACTCACTTCACACACTAGTGCGTAAAGTAATGTCAATGACAGATGTTGATAACTGTCAATTTACTAATTTTCTGGTAAATTACTTCACACACTAGTGCGTAAAGTGAAAATACTTCACGCACTAGTGCGTGAAGTATTTGTCTAAATCTATTTTTTGAACATATTTGATTGGTAGTAGAAAAAATTTTGTATGCAATACGTGCGTAAAGCTCCTTTTTTCACACTTGTTGCATAAATAACTATTTTGCCAAATATGACAATCCCTGTCATTGCCGTAGGTATAGCTGATGGGCTCGTTTTACAATAGGAAAAAATAAAACGAGTGTTCAACTTTTTATGATCACGTCTGTACATATAGTGCGGTTGGTCAGGTTGGTGGCTAGGGTAGGTACGTTCCGTTCCGTTTTCCTATTTCGATATACATTCACGTTTTCTATTTGAATAAAAATAAAGTCGGTCCGCGATCATAGTTCAACTTATATCAGACAGAAATCAAATATTTTCATCAAGGAAAATAATAATTTAAATTTGAGAGATTTCCAGGGGGGTCAAGTGACCCCCCTGACCCTCCCTGTGGGCGCCCTTGTACCCTGTTTGTTTTATATTTACTTATGTAGGTATGTGAGTTTACTCACGTGGATTTTTATACACATAATTTATTAATTTTTTTGTTTTAAAACGCACTTAGCTATATACACATGTAAGTGTGTATATGTATAGATTTATTTTGAGTTGGTGAAAAAATCTTGCCTTTTTAATTTTATTTTTGAAGGATGTTTACTTACTGATTTTATTATAAATTGAGTGTTATTTGTAGTGTATTTTTATTTTAGTAGTATTAAAAATGTATTATTGGATGCTTTGATAATAAGATTGTATTGGTCTTTATTCAATAAAGCTGTTTTGAATTGATTTGAGTCGAATTGAAATGAAGTTAGAGGCTTGGAAGGGGATTCATGTAAAGACAGAGATGTAATAATGGACCGATAATTAATGCTTGAGCTTTCATTTTGCATTCAATAATATACATAATTCCATTTTTAATTATAAAATATGATGTGTACCAGGGCCGGATTAAGGGGGGGGGCTTTGGGGGCTAAAGCCCCGGGCCCCGAAATGAGGGGGGCCCCAAAACACCATCTCACACGGGAAAGAAATCGCATGCGTATAATTTACAATTTCGATTTCGCCATCTATTATCTATCAATTATATCAAGCACAACACTACCCTATAATATTATTATTGAGTAGCTGGTATAATTATTGATAGATGGCGCACTATCCGCATAAAAGCTACAGTGACTTTATACAAGACAGCGGCGACAATAGGAACCTTGATAGGGCCCACCCGCCATGTTTTGTCAAAATAAAATTGCATAAAACTCCATAGGATTAAAATAGGCCGGCATACACACGCGTTATTTCGCGCGGTTTATCGTGGTGTGTTGGGTTGTAGCGGTTTGCACGCGCGAAAGAACGGCGTTGCAAAAAAAGCGTCATATTCCATACACTTGACAAAGTATTCAAATGATTTAGCACGTGATTACGCGTGGCATATCAGTTGGAAAGGAAAAACCGTATGTGTATGGGTAAAAAGTGTCATTTATGGTGTCGTTTGGAAGTGCATGTTGTCATGTACTAATTTTCAACGTGATGGTTTGCTACGCGGCGTTTATGTCTCCGTGCTACTAGCCTCAAAACTGTGACGTGAAATGGCGTGTGGACACGGTTGTGAACTGCACTATCATGTACTTGAGTACTGAGACGTCACATTCCAGATGAAAGCACGTCTGAAATCCCTTCCCATTCTATCATTAGGCCGGCATAGACACACGTTCTTTCGCGCGGTTTATCGTGTCAGCTGCAAAAACCTGTGAAAAATCATGTGCGTGAGTGAGGAGGGCTACACGCAATGATAGAATGGGAAGGGATTTCAGACGTGCTTTCATCTGGAATGTGGCGTCAGTACTTGAGTACATGATAAGTGCAGTTCACAACCGTGTCCACACGCCATTCCACGTCACGGTTTTGAGGCTAGTACGGAGACATAAACGTTGCGTAGCAAACTATCACGTTGAAAATTAGTACATGACAACATGCAGTTCCAAACGACACGATAAATGACACTTTTTACCCATACACATACGGTTTTTCCTTTCCAACTGATATGCCGCGCGTAATCACGTGGTAAATCATTTGAATACTTTGTCAAGTGTATGGAACATGACGCTTTTTTTGCCACGCCGTTCTTTCGCGCGTGCAAACCGCTACGTCCCAACACGCCACGATAAACCGCGCGAAATAACGTGTGTGTATGCCGACCTATTGCGTGTAGCCTTCCTCACTCACGCACATGATTTTTCACAGGTTTTTGCAGATGACACGATAAACCGCGCGAAAGAACGTGTGTCTATGCCGGCCTGATTAAAACAAATTGCTTTTGTCAAAACATGGCGGATGAACTACGTAATTCTGAGAACCAATCAAAAATGGGACAACCGACTGTCGCCACTGTCTTGTATAAAGTCACTGTAATAAATGCACCTGCAAGGTCAAGTTTTGTTTGAGTGACGTTTGAATTTATTTCAGGGACCTAGGGGCCCTTTTTGTGAAAATAGCCTCGGGCCCCAAAAGACCTTAATCCGACCCTGATGTGTACTATAATAAACATGTTTAAAACAACATGATAGGACCTGATTTACCGAGATTTCCATCTCAATTTCACGTAGAGTAATAACTTAAATAGAATCCCTTATGATGTAAATAAACACTGCTTATGGAATAGTATTGTTCTCATTTAATTAATCATAGATAAATAAAAATAGTTTATTTTGGAAACAGTTTCTGTGGACTAATATAGGTATTATCTAAAACTTTATATAGGTACTCTCCTTATATACCTACTGATTTTATAACTTTGAGACAGTGGTGTGCCAATAATTACTAGATGGTTTCTTTCACCTCGAAAAATGTGTCCCTATCAATATCCTGAAATAAGATATTCCTGGTTAAATGGCGCAAAAAACCTTTTTTTATGGATATCTCCTTTCCATTGCTTGAAGGATGAAGGTTGCTTGAAATTGAAATTTCCTATAAAAAGGTTCTACATTCTCTTTTTTGTAGAACCAACATCATATGAAGCTTATTAGATTTCCCGCCAATGTGTTTTAAGTAAATGTATGCACAAGCATTACGTTATATTCTCGGGGCCTGAAATAAAACAACGCTTTTTAATTGGCTTGCCAAAATTGATCAAAAACTACAAATTTACACTGATTTTTGATAGTATTAATGCAGTCTTCAGAGACTGGAACAAGAGCATAGTGATTGGTAAATAATAGGTACTACTAGTATTTAGATAGACATATCATACATCTGTGACTGTGAAGAGTTTTTGGTGTTACAATTTCAATTATGGCCTTCTCTGCAGAAGTATCAACAAAGAAAGGGACACAATTGTATAGTGAGGCACTGTCACTAAGTGGTATGTTAGATTGAATACATATTTTAAAAATTAATTCTTAAATATCAAAATCAAATGTACACAATAATGGAGCGCAACAATAAATTTTCTTTAAACATAAATGATTCAATGCGATTAAAAACTACCTAGCTGAATCCAAAATTTTAGGAATCTGAAATAGGATACATTTATACAGATAAAAATTACATTTAGTTCAACTGAGTTACAATAACGGGATTACACTGAGTATACTTATGATACAAATCCGAAACGTGAGGATTTCTACATTGCATATTGAGAACATTGATAACAATACAGTCAAAAACTAGGCATGTGAGCCTCTTTAACTTGCGCCTTTCCTTTGCCCATTCTGCTTCAGCAGTATGAAATGATTTGCTATTACAAACATTCTATTTCCAGGCTATGGCAAATACAACCTTTACATACTCCTGGCGACTGGAGGATGCTTGATGTGCGTCATAATAGAAACAATGTGCATGTCCTTCATATTACCAGCAGCACAATGCGATCTCGATTTATCACTATCGCAAAAAGGCGTTTTGGTATCCATAGGATTCCTGGGAGTAATGACGACGTCCCATTTTTGGGGATTTATGGCCGATTTTCGCGGCAGAAAAAACATTATGATATTTTGCCTCGTAACCAGCTCACTGGTTAGTTTAGTTTGTAGCATAGTACCATGGTCTTGGCTATTTATACTGTTACGATTCTGCAATGGAGCTTTGTAAGTATTTGTGAAACAAAATCTTTTAAGCATGGTAATTTAGTGAGACTTTTTAGTGAGGCTTATTCAGTGTTAACCGGAAAGATATTCTTTTTTGGGGAACAAAATACTTGTTCACGTAATTTCAACAGCCCTATCTGTTATCGCGACCCCCAGCATATAATTATCAAATTCTGTCTTTTATCCATACAAATTCTTAAGTAAATAGATGACAATCTGAATTTTAGTTAAATCACTTTTTTTCTGTTATTATCATTGTACGTGCTATGTGTTGTGTTATGTATGTTTTTTAGATAAATAACAAAGGGATATATGTGACGATTTGTTAATAATGTAATTGACATAACTTGATTAATTTATGTTGCTTATGATAATAGACAATAAAATGTTTAAGTTGAGTCAATAAATAATTTCACGAAAATACTATTCAAATAAACAACTTAGTGTGAAAGGGTAATAAAAGGAATGCAATTTGATTACAGAATTTAAAAGTTTCAATTATACTTGCACAAGTATTTCTGTTATTTTCCAATAGTAGGCGAACCGAGGAAGCTATTATTAGTCTATGAAGTTGTTGTTTACTAATATGCACTATATTAGTTGTTTGTAACATTTTTTCTTTGGTATTTTGCAGCCTCTTTTCCTTGTCCAGTTTTTTCGAATGTCCCCGAAGCTGTTGGTTTTGATTATGGTGAAAGATCTGCCCATATCGCTTGTTGTCATGTATGTTTCTACTGAATCCCCTCTGTGACATTTTTCTTTTAATGTTGTCGATTGCATTCTTGTCAACGTTTCAGTGTAACTTAGATTCTGTAGCGTTGGTGGTATTCTGGTGACTTTTCTCTGCATTTTTTCAAGTGTTCAATATCTTTAATATAATAGCGGTTCCACAATGTTAAAGCGTGTTCCAGCTTTGGCCTGATATCATTTCATTAGAATGATCTTTAAAGGCGTGTTTGATAAAATAAACAAAAATTGCTTTTTATGGTATTTCTACAATGTGATTTTTCCATTTCAAGTCTGATGACTTCTAGGTCATTTTCCTCTATTACGGTTGATAGAACCGTCCTGTTCAACGAGTATTCGTGGTTTGGATTTTTTGGGCCAATTGTGAGCACTGTACATTCTGTCTCAGTTTCATTCCCCACATCCGTAACCAATTTTCAACCCTTTTTAGGTCTCTGAAGTTGATTTGCATTAAGTAGTGGGTTTGCATAAAATTTGCCATCAGCAAAATGTTTCAGTCTGGTTTCATTCAGATCAACAAGATCAAATAGATAGGCACTATGGAGCAGTGGCCCCAACACCGATCTCTGGACAACTCCACTCTGAACTAAGTGTCTACTTGACATTTCTTCATTTACTCGTACTTGGTAGTATAGTTCATCCAACGACCCTTTTATCATTGTCAGCAATAATTGTCCATGCACTCCAAAGTGCTCCAACTTTCAACATAACAGCTTATGTGGCACTATATCAAAGGCTTTCTCGTAGTCCAGGAAAATCACGTCTGTGGATTGAGCATTAATTGTCATGGTTTTCTGTTCAGTCATTAAAACATTCAAGCAAGTTGGTAGTTGTTGCGCGTTTTGGAAAAAAACCCATGTTGGGATGATGGAATTAAATTATTTTCAAATAATTTTTTCCATACTTTTCAAAGGGTTACATGTAAGGCTGATGGGGCAATCATTCTCTGCCTTATGTCTATCTCATTTTTTGAACAGTGGTGTAACTATGTATACAACTTCCACGGATCTGGCAGTCTTCCTTTTATGAATATCAGGTCTCGGACTTGAGTTTTTTTTCATGTTTTTCAATGCTTCTTTGACCTTTTTTTGCAAAAGCATTATAAATCATATAAATCAAGTTTATCATTTAACTATCCATGTCCAAAGAAAACACTTCTCGGAAGAGGCTGTAACCATCTAGACTTATTAGGGTATCATCTATGTCATCTCTAAGCCAAATATCTGTCTAGTTTTAACTATGATTGGACAGTTGGCTAATACCCTTACCTTCCATTCATTAGTTTTGTTTTTACCACCAATGATAAAGTGTTATACCACAAAAAGATTTCAATTAACTCTGACCCGTTTAGTTTTTTTCATTTTTTTCTACAATTTTAGGGATCCCATTGACATATTTAATGACAATGTTTTCTTTTCCTTCACTCTTTCGCTTTTCCAAGTCCACCAGAACTTGCTCAAGATATTTTCTTTGGTTTTCTGTGGGATCGGCCTTAATATATAATCCTTGTACATTCTGCTCGAGGGTACAAGAGTACCGCTGCTATTTTTTAGAGAAAAATACGTCTTTTTCATACAAAGAGAAAAGTTATTCGAATTTCTCTAGAAAAAAATTATGATGTGAAACACAGAAAACTGCCTGACTTTAAAATACAACTTTTAACAAGATTTTTAATGGAAACTCTGGAAACACAAGGCTCAAGCTATCTTTTTACATAACTTTATTTTTGATAAAATTGATTCTGAGGAAGTTTCGGACTCTCAAGTACCAAGACCCACATCTCGAAACTCTCTAACCTTCGCTTTAAAAACTGCAAAAATATTAGCATTAAAGTATTCTCCACACAAATATAATAACATTCAAACCAACCATGTGTAGTTTCTATTAGGCAGTTGACTAGCTAGCTCACTTCTTTGTTTTAAAAATTGACATTATATTGCATGTCAGTTAAGTATTCCCATTCTGTAAATGGATAAATCCATAGAATGTGGTATAAATAAATAAGTAAATAAAAACAAACTGTTTCTAGGATTAGCGGTGCCTCGTCAATTGTGTACTCTTTTGCTGGTGAATACCATGACGATAAGTACCGACCCATGGTCATATCATGGCTCTGTTCGTTTGTAGCAGCTGGACAAATCTACATTCCAGGTAAGGTAAATAATATTCCAGGATGACTTTATAGATCACATTTAAAGCTCTGTACATATTTTTTCTGCGGTTTATTGTCCAAAATCTATTCTTTCAAACTGTGAAAATTTGTTTCACAGAAATCACAAACCTTACAAAGCGAATTTCATTGGTTAAAAACAGTTAGAAAACTAATTGTTGGCGTTTTGCACCTATCAAAAATGCTCTGACTGGTTTGTGATTTCTGTAAGAACAGACCTATTGAAAAGAGAAAAGGTGAAAATTATGAAATTTTAATCTGTTATTAGTGGATAGTCTGTTGTTGTACAAATCCAAATATCAAAAATAACATGGAACAAGTATTAGACAGTTAATTAATGAAAACTATTTTCTAGGTTTGGCTTGGTCAATCCTACCGAGTGAATGGAGCTATGAAGTGGAGGCTCTAGGACTTTTGTTTCGCCCTTGGAGACTTTTACTTATAGTTTATGCTCTACCAAGTTTAATTGTATCTGCAATGTTATCCATTTTGCCAGAAAGGTACCCAACAATTTTATTTTTCAATTAACAATTGTTAATATTTCTTATTTTAGTCCTAAATTCTTGCTGGCGCAAGGCAAACATGACGAAACATTGCAAATATTAACAAAAATGTTTGTAGTTAATACTGGTAAAAAAGCCCACGAATATCCAGTATCTACAATAGTTTTAGATGAAGTACAAGAGAAAAAGGCTGACGAAAATGCAAACGTTTTTAGAATTATATGGGACCAAACAGCAACACTTTTCAACAAACAATACTGTTTCAAGACAATTCTCATTTGTTACCTGCAATTTGGAGTATTTTTATCGTAAGTTATTTTATTCTATAAATAAAAAATATTAAAACACATAAATTATTACAGAGCATCTGCTTTATCCCTCTGGTTTCCACAAATAATCAACACCCTATCCCAATATGCTGAAAAAGTATCAAATGCAGGAGTAACATTGTGTGGATCAATCGATGATCAACCAATTAGTTTAAATAAATTTAGAAGCTTATTCTATGAATATTCAATGTGGAGTGATATAAGTACTCTGGACAAAGTTTGTGATGATCATGTAGATACTGGAGTGTATTTGGTTGTTTTATGCATAGGGGCAGCAATTGGAGCCACCTATATCATCATTGGTATTCTTATAAATCATTTAGGAAAAAAGAAACTTTTAGTAGGTAAGAAATAGGCAAGTAAAGCATTATTTTTAAACCAACATTTGCAATTCTTCTTAGGTTTTGCTGCAACTACAGCAATCTGCGGTCTAGTCGCCCAATACATTTCGGGATATCAAACTATTTTAATTTTATGCGGAATTTATCTATTAATTTCCTCACTGGTAGGAGTAGTAAATGCATTGGCTGTAGATTTGTATCCTACAAGTATTAGAGCCATGGCTGTAGCTGTTTCACTCATGTGTGGAAGATTGGGAGCCACCATTGGGTCCAATGTTGTTGGAATAATTTTTTACAGTTACTGTGAACTGATATTTATATTTTTTGCTGTAAATCATGTGTGTAAGTACTTTAGTTTATTTTATAAAACATTTGATGCAAATGATTTTTCTTACAGTGATTATAGTAGCTGCTATTCTGCTGCCAACAAAAAAGTTAGAAACCAAGAAGATGAATTTTCTAGAATAAGAATTGTTTGGTGTAATTTTTGTATTAATAAACTTTATTTGTTACTTAAACAAAATGTGTAGCCAATTTTATAAATATGTACTCAACAATTACCTAAAAAAAAAATTTTAAAATGTGTTACTTGAACACCCTTTGTTTTATCCATTCAAAGCGGAATTGAGTTCTCCATTCGCCAACATTTCTTTGACAATATCCAATCCACCAATCAATTCGCCGTTAATGTACAACTGTGGATATGTGGGCCAATCGGAATAAGTTTTGAGACCTTGTCTAACTTCTTCATCTTGTAAAATGTCAAAGGTTTCATAAGGAGCCCTAAAAATGTTCAAAAATTAAATATTATGATTATAAAGTTTGTTTCGCCAGGGTTTGTACTTGCCACCAGCATTTACCTTCCTTGTTTAACAAATAAAAATTGACTGAAACAAATCAACAACGTCAGACAGAAGTCATTCATTTCAATTTGTCAAAAAAATTGAATGTGTCATATAAATTAATCTACGACAACCCTTTTTTTTCAAGTTTCAAGGTCAAGTATGAACCCTGGTGAAACGAACCTTATGTTCTCGATGAAATGACAGGTTAAGGTACTTAATTAAATTCATGATAGGTCACTTTCACATTTTTAAGAGATCTACCGCTATTGGCAGTTGATTGGCATCCCTGCAAATTCTCATTATAGGAATGAAATAGCCATAATTTGTCCTGCGATATAATATATTGAACATTTCATTCTGTCTCGTATATGTTGCAGGTACATGAATATTTATAAGTTCTATCTAACAGAGAACGACAATTAATTAAATTATTTAGAATTTTATATAAAAAGCAGATTCCAAAATTTTTCCTGCAGATTTGTAATGTAGGAAGGTGTAATAGCATATTAGGCATATGGCTTAGATCTTCTCTTGTAAAAACACTCTGAAATTGTTTGGCAAATAAATTGGTAACGTCTTCCTCAGTGCAGTTAGTGGTTACTTTCCTAAGGGCCGGTTTATTCGCCCTATGATAAACTGTCAGGTATGCAACCTGACCGATAAAAACCAAATCTGTATGTAATCCCATTGGTCGACCAGTTATCCGCCAACCAAAAGAATTATAGAAAGGTAAATTTATCTTGCAGGCAGCAAGTTTATCTGAAGTTAAATAAACTGGGCCTAAGTGAAAAATGTGTAAGTCTTGAACAGAGATCTGTTTATGCACAAGAATGAAATGGCTTATAAAATGAGGCTAGTAATTCTTGTTCATATTTCCTTCTAGACTGTTCAATGTTGGCTTTGAGAAAGTTATTTTGGTTCCTGTAATTCAAGTTGTCATTTTCAGAGTTACTTGTAAATTTCTTGTGCTCCAAATTTCCTTTTTTTTTTTTCAATGTGTTTAAACATTTCTTGAGTTAGTCAAGGCTTCTGGGTATTGAGTTTTGACAATCTTCAGTTTAAATAAAATGAAAGAGCTGATTGTCGATTACAGATTGCTCATGACCCGCTCATAGTTAGCAGTGATGGAGAATTCTTGCTGTAGATGCGTGTTAATAAGTTCATAGTCTGCGGACCAGAATCTCCTCTTATATATTTTATTAGTTGGTTTTGGAATTTAGCAGTTACGACTACATGGTCACTTAATTCAATTGGTGGATGCTGTAATACATCAAAAGCAAGCCTCTTGTTACTGACGAATAGCAGATCAAGCAGACACTGTTAATTTCTTCTTATTCTGGTTGGAAAACTTACACGTTAAAAGGCGTTGATTTTTTTCTAGGCAGTAATGAAATCTGACGTACTCTACTACATGCATTTGTCGGACTGACTGTAAATGTTTTTTAGTTGAACTCTGTGTGGCTGAAATCTCCAAAAATGAAAGTAGACATATATATATACCAGTGTTGCATGCTTGTTCTATAAGCTTTGTAAGTTTCAAGTTGTCTTCTATATTGGTTTGCAGTTTAGGCCGATATATACATGAAACAACCATAGGCTGGCCGTCTATCAGAACATTATTCCTAGGATCAGCTGTGAAATATATAGGGATCATTGCAGACTGAAAATGGTGGCCGGAATGAAGCTGCGGACAAATACACAAATGCCGTAAATGCCCCCTCCTTCTTATTTAACCTATTTTTTTTGAGTTTTTTGTAGAGTTTGAATCCAGAAATTTGCACCGAGCTATCTGGAATCATCTCATGGAGGCATGTTACTGTTACCAGAATAATAGTTGGTGAGAACATTTGGATAGTTGCCTTCCACTTGTCGATCTTTGTAATTATGGAGTTCAAATTGGTATACGAGAAACGAGGGGCGGTCAACTGGTCAAAATCCGTGTACAAGTTGGACAAAATCCCAGAAAATCTCATAAGATCTACTTAAAATCCCTAAAAATCTTTAAATCCTCAAAAATTCAACAAAACCCCACAAAATCTCTTGTAAATCGCATAAAATCCTACAACATTTTATTGAAATTAAAAAAAGTTCCCAAGTCTTTTGGAATCCCCAAAAATCTGTTAAATTATCTAAAGACCTTTTAGAATCTTCAAAAACTCAAAAAAATGCTAGAAAATCACCTAAAATCTTAAATATCTAAAATCTTCTAGACTGCTGTTAAATCGTGTGAATATTTTCAAGCTCCTACAATATCAATGAAGATTTAAAATATGTGTACAGGGTGTCAAATTATATATTATCCGTTCACAATCCGATGTCCACAGGTACAGGTAAAATTTATCACCTTTCAATGCTATTTGATAGGGAAAGGTGATGATAAATTTACCTGTACCTGTGGACATCGGATTGTGAACGGATACTAGTTATAAAGTACCACCACCTGTAACTTTTTTATTTTTGATTGAAATAAAAAAGTTACAGGTGGTGATGAAGTACCACAACTTGACACCCGGTACACAGAGCCGGATCTAGGCACAGGCAACCGAGGCAAGAGGGCGCTACGATTAGGGGCGCCAAATTGCAAGCAAATTTATTTCGAGTAAACCAAGGTAACTAAAAAAAAAATTTATGCTACAAGGATAATAGGAAGGAAATAAAAGATCTGACAACATTGTCCAATAATAGTTAATCTAAAGTCTGTTTTCTTTTGAAAGATAATTCCCCAAGTCAAAAATTTATTAACTATGTTGGCAACACAAGCCCTGTCTACATAAAAAATTTGGAAGCATTGACAATTTTACATTGTATTGCTAACATAATGTCATTTTGACTTTTATCTTTAAAAAAAAAACAGACTTTACGTGTCACCTCACACCGCTTATCATGGCACCTTTTTTCATCTTTAACCAAATTTATGTAACAAACTACTTCCATGATTTCATGAACGCCAACGCTTTCACGAGAAACTATGGCGTCATATTGAACGTAGATCGCTGGAAGCATGGATGCAGCTTCTAGCCATAGCGTTCAGCGTTCAAACACATGACGTCACAAGACGAACTGTGGTTCGTTTGGATGAAGTATAGATGAACTACATTCTGTTTTTGTCTCAAAAAAGATTGAACGGACTTTTGTTGTAGGAATTGGAAATGTTATAACCATTAAACACACTCCATGGTTATGACATGTTCAATAGTGTAGATCGTAGATTCTAGATAATTCTGTTCTCACACAAATTACAAATCAGTCAGAGCGTGTTTGATTTGTGCAAATCGCCAACCAGTTTTCTGACTAATTTCAACCACTGAAATTCACTCTGTTTGGTTTGTGATTTCTGTGAGGACAGACCTCATGTAATAAGTACATACATACATACACGTCCTGCAAGTCATCATCTTACAAGCCAATTTTAATGCGATGGAATGTCTAAAAAAAGTCTAAGTATATGATATACTTATTTAAAAAAATGAAGTTAATTTTTTGTATTATTTTTTTACTCTCTAAACAATATCCTAAAATTCATATTCATTGTTTATCATACCATATAGGTACCTAAACATATTTCTCTATGACCCTTTTGACAACACAATTTGAGAGGGGGGCGCCAGAATTGAACTTTGCCTAGGTATATATTTGCTATAGGACTAGCTCTGCCAGTACATATTATTATTTTATGGAGTTAAGTAAACCTCGGAGCGGTAAATTGGTCAAAATTTGTACAGGTTGGTCAAAATCTACCTTAAATCTCTGAAATCTTTGGAATCTTCAAAAATTCAACAAAACCTCACAAAATCCCTTAAAATCAATTAAAAAATCTGACAAAATCTTATAAAATCATTATTATTCCTAAGAAATATTTCCTTTAAAATTTCCAAAAATCCTTTGGAATCCCCAAATATCTGTTAAAATCTCTAAAAATACTTGATCTCTAACTGACAGCGATTTCCATTTGTAGAATCAGTGCAAAAAAAATTTATCGTTTTCCTTATATTTTGCATGCTTTTAGAAACAAATGCGGATACACTCAGTGCGCACTTTTTGACAAATGGAAATCGCCATATGACTAAAAAATCCTTCCAAATTCCCTAAAATGCTCCAAAATCACCTAAAATTTTATAAATCTAAAATCTTTTAAAATCCTGTAAAATTGTGAGAAGATTTTCAAAATTCTCAAAATCCTACAAAATTAAGGGGCGTTTCACCCACTAAATTTTGTACACCTACTGTATTTGACTGCATTGATTGCATCAAATATGATATTAGTTGACTGCACTGACTTTTGAGCAATGTCTTACAAGATTGCAGGCTCCACTCACAGTGACTGCACGGAATTCATTCGATTGCAAGCGACTGTATTATGACTGCATGAGTATATGTATTCCATTGACTGCATTAGAATGCATGGACTCCAGAAGAATGCATATACATGAATGTATGAAATTTGTACACCTACTGTATGAGTGCAACACCCTTCGTACAAAATCAATGAAGATTTAGAATCTGTGTACATATTTCAAGAAGTTAACTACCCTGCGACCAGAAGGAGATTTCCACAGAGTAGGTGCCTTTATGATTTCAGGTGAGCCATTGATATATTTATGTGAACATCAATTTCACCCTTTTTCTTGTGTTCATCAAGCTCCTGAATATTTTTTTTCCAGATATTCTCTTTGTTTTAGAGTCAAGTCACACTTGATGTACACTGAGCTCTTGTTGAGTTTCCTCTTTTGGCGTACTAGCTGAACTCTGAAGTACTTCTTCTTCAGTAAGTAGATCAAATTGAATATCCAAAACGTTCAAAACACAGTCCAGAGTGCCCCTATTCTTGAGTTTTTATTTATTTATTCATTTATTTATTCATCAACGGGAATATCGAATATCCCAATTTTACAGAAAATAAAAATCATAAAAACAATGAAACATCCAATCACTAACAT